GCCCGGCTCACCCAGGTCCGCGATGCAACACTGCAGGTTGCTCTTGACCAGCACGTTGCGACTCTTGAGGTCACGGTGGGCAATGGCGGGTTTGCCCTGCGTGCCGAAGATCTCCACATGCAAGTGCGCCAGGCCGCAAGCCGCGGACACAGCTAGCCTCAGGGCCAGCTGAGGCTCCAGCGTCTGTCTCTGCAGAAAGTCATAGAGCGAGCCATGCTCGTGGTAGTGTGTGATGAGCCACAGCTGCGTACTCGAGTTGCGGGAAGTCATGTCCGAGGCGATAAAGCCTGTGAGCAGAGGGTCAGGTGGCTCAGCAAAGGGGCTAGGGATGAGGGAGGCTGGACTGGTCAGGGTCAGGGCTGGGGCTGAAGGCAGAGGATGGACTGGGTCAGGGCAAACTTGGGGTTGGGGTGGAGGCTGGTCTGGCTTAGGTCAGAGAGGAAGCTGGAGTAAGAGGTTTGGGCTGAGAGCCGGCTGGGAGTCCTTCAGGGTTAGGTCAGGGTCCAGAGGCTGGGGACTCCAGGCCTGAATACAGGGGAGTAAAAGCCCGGGGTCCGGCATAGCATCCCCAGCTTGCCTAGGATGTTGTCGTGTCTGAGCAACACTGTATTGTAGATCTCAGTCTCCCGGAACCAGGACTGTTCATCCCTTGAAGAGAAGATCTTGACGGCCACACTCTCACCATGCCACAGGCCTCGCCACACCTCACCATAGCGGCCTTTGCCTGATCCAGTGGCAGGAGGGGAGGGAGAAGATCACACAAGCTCCTGAGCACAGTAGTCCCCAGAAGTGACCTTCGTCTTGATGGTGCACTGACCCCGCTGCAGAACCTCTGACACTTGTATTTAACTTAATGCAGACCCAAACCCCTCTGGCAGGCCACCCCCATCCGCCTCTTGTTCCTCAGCTCCTGCAGATGGATCTAGCCCCGACCCATCTCCAACACCCTCCCTGCCCAGCAGAATTCCCATTCTGAGCCAAGCCTAGCCCCTCCTGTGACTCCAGAGGTCAAGAGCTCCTTCAGCCCTCCAGGCTCATGGGAACCCTTGGTCCCCATCCCCAGGCTCACCCACTGCTCACCCACGCACTCCACCAGGGCGACCTGCCGCGCCACTGTCCTCTGCACCAGGAAGGGGAGCCCCGAGCCACTGCCCGTGGTGCAGTCGCTGTCCAGGAGGTCCTGGAAGTACCGAGAGCCCACTGAAAGGCTGTCCCCACCCATCCCAGTTCCCTTCTCCTTCCTCAACCAGGGTCCTGCTACTGTGTCTCTGCACGCTCCACACTCATCCAGCCCCCCACCCACTGAAATTGGAGTGTCTGTGATTGTGCCTTTCTCAGCTACCTGTCAATCTGCATCCCCTCTGATTCTGTGGCTCCTGCCTACCCTTCCCCCCACCCCATGTCCCAAGTTCCCCATGCCCATACCCCCAACATGCTGTCCCCCTGCTCAGATGCCTTCAGGATGAGGCTGGACTCGCCCAGCTCGCTGTGCAGGCCCCGATGCTTCTCCTGCCTCCGCCGGACATGCCACAGGCCCAGGGTACCCAGGGCCAGCAGGGCCAGCAAGGCCAACACAGGGCCCAGGATCAGAGGCAGCTGGCCATCTACTTGCGGCTGCTCCGGAGTTGGGGTGGCTGCCAGAGGGGGGACACTGAGACCCAGCTTCCACCAGGCTAGAGTCCTCCCCATCTTACCACTCTGCCATCAGATTCCAGGGTCCTGCCTCCCCCACCCTCCCGGCCAGAGCATAAGAAGAAAGCAGGGTAGGAGGACAGGGTCTGAGAAGATGAGGAGGAGTTGCTGGGGCAGTTGGACATACCCTTCAGCACCAGGGACACATTGTGGTTGCAGAGGGAGCTGTTGCAGCAGTAGTGGTTGACGAATTCAGTGGGGCGCCCCCTGCAAAGCTCCTGGTGCATGTTCCCGCAGCCCCTATGTTCCTGGGGGTGCCTGCCCTCCTCCCGCACCAGCACTACGGTGCACCAGGCCCCCTGGCAGGTAGGCCCCTTGCAATGTGGATTCTCACACGTACAGGTCACCAGTGGGCCCCGAGAGGGCTTCACAGGGTCACCTGAGAGACACAGCAGAAGCTCAGCCACTCTGGGCCCAACTCTCCAGCTGAACCCCACACCCACTGCCCTCTCCTTTCTGATCTCCCAAACAAACCCCTTAGTTCCACCTTCAGATTATCTTTCACTGAGAACCAGGCCTCTCTCCAGTCCCTCATCCTAGGACCTCTCCTCCCGGTTCCAGACCCAGCCCTGGCCCCAGCCCCAACCCTAAGGGCTCTCCCAGGCCCTCCTTGCCAACATTCCCACACTCTGTACCCCCCAGACAGAAGTTCTCATCGTGAAGTCTAGTAGAAAACCAGCTTGCAGGTTTGGATAAAGAGGGCAGCAAAAGAGGGTTGGGGTAGCTAGTCTAATAGAGCCTATCTTCTGCCCTCCAGCCAAGCTCCAAAGTCCCTTTTCCCCAATTCCTCAAATTCAGCCTCAGCAAGAGCTGAGCCCAGAAAACCCTTTCTCCATTCAGGCCCCTATTCCCTATCTGCTCCCCCAGTACTCACCCTGGTTCAAGCCCAAGGCCATCAGTAGCATCAGAAGGCCTTTCCTGGGGGAGTCCAAGGTCATGGTTCTGGAGAGAGGAGCAGGAGAGGGGGTGCAGTAAGATCTGTGAAATGTAATCCCCTCCGTGTTTTCAGCCACTAACCGTGGCTCCCTCCCACCCAGAGGAAATCACTGGGAGTGTTTTATGGGGGGGGGGGCAGGGAGGCCTCCTCCCTACTCTCTGTGTCTGGCTTTCGGGCGGGGCCTGCAGGGGAAGTCCTGGTTCACTTCCCCATGGAAACCATCCTGTTAGGGGTAAAGGGTGAGGAGCCATGTTTAAGTAACCGACAGCTTGGGGGACTCCCAACTCTGCACCTCTGCTGCTGAGCTCTGACTGGAAGGTGCAGAGGGCATGGGGCTGGGGTAGAAGGATCATTTATGCAGCAGCACCCCTTCTGTTCTCTCTTGCCCACCCCCTCCCAGCCTCCACCCCTGCCCACCCCTTTCCCAGTGCCCCCCCAAGCCCTGGCTGCCTCAAACATAAACAGACTCCTGTCTTCACTTCCTGCCATTCAGGGTTCCGCCAAGCTGGGAACAGGAATCAAGATTGTTTAGATTGGGGTCTGGATAGAACAGGCAGGAGTCACGCACAACAGGGAGTTCAGGACATATTCTCAGGGCAGGCTGAAGCAGCCACAGGGTCTGGAGGAGCCGCCTGGGGCTGGAACGCCCCCTGTGACAGAATCCTTGGGCTACACCTTATAAATCACAAAGCTCAGTTCTTTATTTTAGAGAAGATGGAATTAAGGCTCAGACAGGGAAGGAGACTTGTCCAAGGTCAGATAGGATTCAGTGGCAGTACCAGGAGTATAACTCAGGTGGCCAGACTCCCAGTCCAGTGCTCTTCCCACTCTACCTTCCAATCCATGGTGGCGGCCCATGTCTGAGCCCTCAGAGCTGTAACACCCATACAAAGCTTCCACAGTGCTGGCTCACACTGGTGAAAGAACCCTCTCTGCAACCTCACCGGAGTATAAGAAGCCTTCGCTATACCATTCCCTGGTCTCCTTCTCTTTTTTTGCTGTCCTGAGAAGGAGGAGGGTAGCGCCAATGATGTGGGAAGGAAAGTGAAACACACTTAGACACTGAATGTTTGGCCTTCCGTGGCTGGCTAAGGTTGAACTTTTCCCGAAGTTTTATGAAGAGTGTTAAGGGAAGTAATTTTAATCTATGACAGTCCCCAAATCAGGTCCCAAACCAACGAACGCTTCAGAAACCACCCCCTTCTTCGTTTCTCAAAGGTTTAGAACAAGAAGATAAGGGCTGGCAAGAACTGAGGTCAGACAGTAAGAAAGACTTTCTGAATAGTGGAGAATGTGCAGGTGTGTGCCTGGGGACTGGATCCCTAGACAGAGGCAGCTAAAATAAGGGAGGGGGAGTGTCTTCTGGTATCACATGGTAAGGCTGGTAGGGCTGGACATAAGCTGCAGGAGGCCCACAGACTAAGAAGACTAGTACCAAATGAAGATCCATGATGCTGAGCCTCTGAGGGCAGGATGGCTGGGGGGTTGTAGGGAGAGCTCTGTATGCCTCTCTGACCGGTGGCAGCTCTGGCCTTCCTGCCTGGGCTTCCTCTGCCCCAGGGGCCCAGGGCTGAGGGAGGAAATGGAGTCCTGGGCTGCTGCAGCTGTATCCCCAGCCTCTGCCTGACCTCCTGCCTCTTGCCCCTCCCGGCAGGCAGTGAGGACTCCAGCAAGCACTCTGCAGTGGGACTGGAGGCTGTAGAGGGAGCCCCAGACAAGCTGAATTTGTCCACTGGTATAGGCAGGAAGCCATCCTTTGCTTGCCCAGAAAGCAGCTAAGGAGAGGGTATCCGGCAGGAAAAAAAAAAAAAAAGTGGAAAACGATGAGGATGAATCTGGTGTCCTAGAATCCTCTACCCATGCTCCACTTCTCTGATCATGCCCCAGTACACCTTCTCACTTACTTTATCATGCATCAGAATCACCTGAAATGCTTCATTAGAAATGCACATTCTTTGATCTCACCTCACTCCAGATTCTGATTTGGTCTATTTGGGACCAGCAAGAAACATGCATTTTTTAGAAGTTCCCCAGGTAATTCTGATCAGTGGGTCCCATACTGAGAAACGTGTCCTACACAACATGAAGACTGGTCTCCACACTTTCATTTCACAGGTGAGTGGGAGTGGGATAAAGAGGGTGGGACTCTTATTCCCACCCAGGGACCACGTCCTCTCCTGGAGAACACAAGGCTTAACACAGACACCAGGGACTTGGAGACATTGTGGAGGGAGGGCAGGTCCAGGGCTTTGCTCTTTACATCCACCTCAAGCCTCCCAGGCCCAGGAACAGCGTAGGGAGGGCCTGGCAGTGTTTGCAGAATA